GACGCCAGCCGTCGCAGCGAGGCAGACACGCTGCGGGAGAAACAGCGTCCACTCCTCTGGCCTTGACTTTGAGCCAGGTATTGTGCTAAGCACCAAGGTTAGGAGGTGGATTTCCTTGTTCTTTCCCCTCATTTTACAAATGGGGAAACCGAGGCACAGGAGGGAGTCAGAAGTAGCCCCGATGGGTCTGACTCAGTGCCAGAAATAGGCCGGGCGGTGGCTCATGCCTGTAATCCCAGCACTTTAGGAGGCTGAGCCGGGAGGATTGCTCGAAGCCAGGAGCTCCAGCCTGAGCAACATAGCGAGACTGCGTTTCTACAAAAATAAAAAAATTAGCTGGGCACAGTGGCACGTGCCTGTAGTCCCACCTACTTGGGAGGCTGAGGCGGGAGGATCGCCTGGGCCCAGGAGGTCGAGGCTGCATTGAGCCTCTGTACTCCAGACTGGGTGACAGAGTGAGACCCCCCAACTCCAAAAAAAAAGGGGGCAGAAACAGAGACAGACAAGGACAGGAAGAAGCAGCAGAGTGGCTGCAGGGAAAAAAAGGAAACTGGAAGGGGGTAAGGAGGCGGTGAGGGAGGAGGACTGCAGGAGAGAGGGGAAGGGCCTGCAGAGAAAGGCGTCTTCCCAGGATCCCATTCCTCCAACTCCAGCTCACTCTCCTGACCTGTAGACCCCGAAAACTGGGGGGGGTCACCCGGTTCTCCCAGAAAGGCGCCAGGGCTCCTTCGGCTCCTGGTGCCCATTCATCACCTCCCAGCAGTTAGGAGAAGCTGGGCTCCCCAGATTAGGAGGCCTCCACCCGAGTCCCCCGTTACAAGGAGTTTCTACCTACAGAGGAAGAGGAGGATGAAGAGGACCACGAGGATGATGAGGAAGAGGAGGAAGAGGAAAAGAAAGAGAAGATCCCTCTGCCTTCCAAGAAGCCCCTTAAAGAGAAGACTTCTACAGACGTGAAGGAGAGGAGGGCCAAGTCCCAGGGCCCAAAGGGTGGGTGTTGGGAGCGCAGAGACAGCAGACACAGACCAGCATAGACAGCCCTGCCCCTGAGCAGCTTGGAGTCTCAATGATACACAGCTGTCCAGACCACAGAAGGGGCCCAGTGCCTTGCCAGAGGGCTTTTCTGTGGATGGTATCTTCCCCCTGATGGTTCTTCAAGAAAATAGACCAGCATGTCCCTCCCCCACTCCACCCTCAGCCCCTCTGGCCCCTGCCCAGGGAGCTCTGTGAGCCAGGGCAGAACAAAAGATTTTTTTCTTTGTGATTCTTTTCTTTTTTCTTTTTTTTTAGAGTCAGAGGCTCACTCTGTTGCCCAGGCTGGAGTGCAGTGGCATGCCACGGCCACCGCAGCCTTGACCTGCTGGACTCAGGTGATCCTTCTGCCTCAGCCTTCCAAATAGCTGGAACCACAGGCGCACACCTCCATGCCCGGCTAATTTTTTTATTTATTGTAGAGGCGAGGTCTTGCCAAATTGCCCAGACTGGTTTTGAACCCCTAGGCTCAGGCCATCCTCTTGTCTCTGCCTTTCAAAGTGCTGTGATTACAGGTGTGGGCCACTGTACCTGGGTTCTTTGTGATTTTTGTTTAGTTTTTGTTGTAACTCGATGTGAATTATCTTTAATTTTTTAAAAAAGTGTCAAAGTGATTACAGTAAGAAGAAATCGATGATATGTGCTGTGGTGGCTCCCTGGTAGGTGTACCTCACCCTTCATGTACTGGCAGTCTGGACTAAATGTGTGGAGGCAGCTAGAACCCTGGACCTCTGGGGAAGGGAGAGAACACTCTGGAGGTGGCAAGAGTGGGTTTTCTGGAGCAACGGGCAGAAGGCAGGATCCAGAGGCTCAGTTACAAGGCCCAATGGGGCTCACTCTGTCACCTGGGCTGGAGTGCAGTGGCATGATCACAGCTCACTGCAGCCTTGACAGCCTGGGCTCAGGTGATCCTTCCGCCCCAGCCTCCCAAGCAGCTGGAACTATGGACGTGTGCCACCATGCCCAACTCATTTTAGTTTTTTTAAATTTTTTGTAGAGACAAGGTCTGGCTATGTTGCTCAGGCTGGTCTTGAAATCCTGGGCTCAAGCAATGCTCCCACCTTGGCCTCCCAAAGTACTGGGATTACAGGCATGAGCCACCACACCTGTCCAGTCCAGCTCCAGGAGCTGCTTGTTAAGCTCCTGGTTTTTACACAGCACTTTTTTGGACTCAGAGAGGAAAAAAAAAAAAGGCAAGCAGAAGGTAGACTATGGGCCCCAGTCAGGCCTTACACCTCCCTGGACCCTGGAAGGAGCACGAGTGGGTTGGAGGATGGTCTTTAGCCCTGGTAGGCGCCATCTTTGTCTCAGCCCCATCTTCCATTCCAGGGGACCCAGGAAGCCCTGATGCCCCACTGAAACCTCTTCGTATGAAGAAGAAGGAAGCCCCAGGAGGGGAGGGGACCAAGATAAGAAAGACAAAGAAGAAAGGTGAGCCGTGAGCCGTCTCAGGGAGGCATGGGGCACCCTGGCTGTGGCGGAGGTGTGACCCTTTCCTATCCACCATGCAGGGTCCGGGGAGGCTGACAAGGACCCCTCCAGAAGCCCCGACAAAGCCAAGAAGAAGAGTCCGGCGGCCATGTTTCTGGTTGGGGAAGCTGGCCCTGCTGAAAAAGCCGTGAAGAAGAAAGGTATCCACAGTGGCTCCAGGGGCCATCACAGCTTGTGGTGGCTTGGGGGATGGGGAGCTGGGGGACCCTTATGCCATGGGGTGGGGTGTCGGGTAAGGAGGGTGGCTCCTAGAGAAAACGTGTGGGGCATCTTGACCTCCCGGTTTGACATCTATGTGGTCTCAGGCAGGCATCTGGGCCGTTCTGAGGCTCTCATCGTAAAACAGGGGCACACCCTCTCGGGGTGGAGGGGAGGGTCCAGGTGAGACATGGTTGTTGGGAGCACTTTGCTGACAATGGGTGGGGACCTCACAACCTTGCTCCTCTCTGCGCCCAGGCACTCCAAAAGGCCCAGAAGAGGAGAAGAAAGAGGAAGAGGAGGAGGAGGAGGAGGACACCGCTGTGGCGACCAAGAACAGCAATCAGAAGGGCAAAGCCAAGGGAAAAGGCAAAAAGGTCGGGGCCCCGAGGGGGGGCTGAGGTCTCTTCGGGGGGCGGTGGGGTCCTGGACTCGGGGGACTGGAGGCTGGGGTCTCATAGGCTAGGCCTTAGAGTCACTTGGGATTAGAATCTTGGCTCCTCCTGTGACAGAGTTTCAGGACAAAGGCACCAGGTTTGTGGACCAGAAGAGGCGTTTGTGGGGTCACTAGGCTAGGACTGGCCACCCCAAGGGCCTTGTGTCCTCAAGTCTCTGCAGTGTGACTATCAGACACAGCCAGAGATGTCCCTGTAGCCCCCATGATTTCTGTAGCAGAGAGATGGTCATCCAGGCAGAGAGGCACAGGTGTACACACCTTTGGGCACACTGACTGACTGACTGATAGTCGGCTGTACCCATGGTTACATCGTTCCACCCTACCGCCCTGAGCTCCCCAAGTGCTTTCTGCCACCCACCCCAGGACCTCCCAACAACTAAATAATCCAGCGTGTTAATACCTGACTGTCAGAGGCCTCCAGGCTCCTCCTCCAAGCTTACAGGTGTCCATTCTACTTTGAATTGAGGCCAGGGCAATGGCTCACGCCTGTAACTCTAGCAATTTGAGAGGCCCAGGCAGGAGGATTTCTTTTTCTTTTCTTTTTTTTTTTTTTGAGTTGGAGTCTCACTCATCACCCAGGCTGGAGTGCAGTGGCATGCTCACGCCACCACAGCCTAGACCTGCTAGGCTTAGGTAAGCCTTCCGCCTAAGCCTTCCAGGTAAACGGAACTATAGACGCACACCACCATGCCCAGCTAGTTTATGATTTATTGTAGAGATGAGGTCTCACCAAGTTGCCTGGGCTGGTCTTGAACCCTCAGGCTCAGACAATCCTCTTACCTCGGCCTCCCAAAGTGCTGGGATTACAGGCTGAGCCACCGCACCAGGTCCTTTTTTTTTTTTT